CTCACTCACACACCAAGCACACGACCGGCCCTCCGCCCTCCACGACCGGCCCCGTACGCCAGACCGCACGCCCCAGCAGCGGGACGTCGGCCCCAGACGCAGGAACCAGCCGCTTCGACGCGGAGGACCGGGTGTTGGCCGGCAGGCTTGCCGACCAACCCCACAGACCCCGAGGCCCTGCCTGGGAATACGTCCCAGCGGCCCCCGGGGTCTTCCAGGAGACCGGACCCTGCCTCGGAAACGTCCGAGCGGCCCCGATCCCCCGTCCTTGCCGGGCCAACCGGGCGACGCGGGTCTCAGACCCGACGTGTACCCGGGGCCCCGCTCCCTCCCGGAAGGGCCGGATTACATCCAACCCAACCGCGAGGGATCTCCCCCTTTTCCCTCCTGCCCCCACTCCCTCGCCCCCCCCTTATGCCAGGCCGCACGCCCCAGCAGCGGGACGTCGGCCCCAGACACAGGGGTTGACGAGTTCGCGGAGACAGGCGGGTGCTGAGCGACAGATTGCCGCCCAGCCTCCGACTGCCATCCCACTCCGCGGATCCTGGAAACCAGTTTGCCGCGGAGGTCCGGCCCCTCCCCCCGGAAGACACGGACCACGTCCGAGTCAACCGCGGGGAGGCCACGACTTCCGGCCCACCCTTCGGCCGGGACCACGTCCCGTTGTGCCTCCGGGGTCCGGTCCTCCTCCGCCCGCGAGCACGTCCACGACGAGCTCGTTGACGGAGGCGCTCCCCTTGCCACCGTCCCCTGCCGGAACACCGGCGTGCAATGGGTGACGGTGGCCTCCCCCCGAATCCCAGACGCCTGCCGGAACACCGGCGTGCAATGGCGTCTGAGATTCTCTCCCCCTCATGGCTGGTGGGAGGAGCAAGCTCCTCCCTAACGGCCCCAGCAGCCGGAGGTTTGAACTCGGGGTGCCTCATCCCCTACCGGCGAGTGGTCTCGGTTCTGTCTCGACTCGCGTCGAGACAGCCGAGACCGGAGTCGCCGGGCTCCATACCTCCCCCCATAGGCTGGAGGGAGGGTGGCACGCTCTTGGTCAGCGGACGCCCGGCCAAAGGAACCGCCGGAGCCTAAAGCGGCACACAGACGGTTCCAGGCCGAACGCCCGCCTAAGCTCCCCCACCACGACAAGGTGGCGCGCCAACGGGGGAGTGTGAAGCTGTCACCTTTTTTTTTTTTTTTTTGACCCGGTGGAAATCCTCATGGACCGTCACCCGTCCCTCCTGGAGAGAGGGACGGGTGGTGTGTGGGACTCGTCTCCCTGGCACCTGGGAAGTTGGCCCAGAGCCAGTAGTGCAACGGAGACGCCTACCGCACTAAAACCACCGGGAGTGGCCACCTAATCGCGCATTGTGGGGGCCATCTGGGAAATACATCGCAAAGCTCCAGATGGCCCCCGCGTCACGCTTGAATCGCGCTCAACTTAGTCCCCCCCCTTTTTAAGAGGAGGGGACCTAGGCCCTTCAGCCTTCTCCTCGTTGTTACAATGCGGCAGGGGTGCCACCGGGCCCCTGCCGCGCCCCCTTGGTGTTGTGGGGGCGGGTGGGTCGCGGGTCTCCAGCCCGCGCCCACCCCCGGGTGCCCTGTGTTGCCACACAGGGCTCCCATCTCCTCCTGCCCCTCGCGTGGGGCTATGGGGGGAGGCGGGGGCGCAGGTAGCCGGACGACCCACGAATCCCGCGCCCCCGCCTCCCCCCAAGTCTTCTATACTACCGCTCGCACGCTCGCATGTAGTCGGTCTCCCAGGGAAGGGAGGCGGCCGCTCATGTGTCAGCCGCCTCCCTTCCCAGAGACCGTTCGCTTTTTCCCGGTCTTCGCTTAGACCGGGCGCCATCTCTTCAGGTGGGCGGGGATTCCTCTCCTTCTTCTTCCCCGGATCCCCGCTCCCCCGCCGCCTCTTTGTGTTCCGGGGGGAATTACCTCCCCCCTTCTCACTCGCTCCGCCTCCTCCTTCTGCAGCATTACGTGCTCGCAGAAGGAGGAGAAAGCTTCCCATTTTGCCCCGTCCCTGACTATGGCAGTCACTACCGCCCGCAACGTCAGGTCAGGGCCTATCTTATCGACAAGGACCCGGCGCCGCGCATCCCACTCACTACACTCTTCGAGTGTATGCTGCGCCGAGTCCCTGTCTGCGCCACAGTGATGGCACTCCTCGCTCGCCTCACGCCCTATCCGCCGCAGGTACTCACCGAAGCACCCATGCCCGGTGAGCACCTGCGACGTCCTAAATGAGGCCCGCGCCCAAGGGCGCTCCAGCCATTCATCCAGACGCGGGAGGACGGCGTCGACAGTGCGCCTCCCCGGCGTATTTGGCGCCGAAAGTCGCACCCGCCAGTCCTCCCGCGTCTCCCTCTTAGCCTGGGCCCCGAGGAGCCTCCGGACCCGCGCCGTGACCGGGACGCCCTGCCCCCGAAGTTCCCTAGTGCGCCGGTACACTTTTGTGTACTCGGCCGCCACTAGGTCAAGGGGCGGCATCCCGGCCAGCAGCGTGGCCGCCGTGTGGGATACCGTACGGTACCCCCGTATGGCTCTGATGGCCATACGCCTTTGAGCCCCCCTGAGGACGGAGAGGGATCTCCTGCTCCTCAGGAGGGCCTCAGCCCACACGGGGGCACCGTACATAGCCATCGATGACAGGACGTTGGCGTAGAGCCTACGCGTCCTCCCACACGGCCCGCCCAGATTGGGCATTATGCGCGATAGCGCGTTGCCCGCGCTGTCCAATCTGGGCGCCAGTCTCCGGAAGTGCTCCTCGAAGCCCCAGGTCCCATCGATGTGGAGGCCCAGATATTTTATCTGGGCCCCCACCAGAATGCGCTCGCCATCCACGGTGATCCTGGCTTCAGGCGGCGGCCCGGCCGAGCCGTCGTGAAAAAAGACGGCTTCGGTCTTCTTGGCCGCCACCTTTAGCCCTAACGCCTTGATCGCCCTAATGGCGCAGGCCACCGCCAGGTTGCCCCTGGCGATGGCTTCCCCCCATCCCTCCCCGCTGGCCAGCACAAGCGTGTCATCCGCGTAACACACGCATGTGCAGCCAGCGGGGAGCGCCGCACGCAACACCCCGTCGTACGCGACATCCCACAGGAGTGGTCCTAGGACCGACCCCTGCGGGACGCCGCGATCCGCCCTCCACACACGGGAGTCTCCCTCTCTATCCACGCAGACTATGGACCGGTTCTGGAGATAGTCCCCAATTATCCCACGTAGATAACCGGGGACCTCCAATTTCTCCAGACCGGCCACAATCTCTCGATGGGGGATGGAGTTAAAGGCGTTCGCCACATCAAGGGCGACAGCCAGCACCACCCCTCCATCCCCCATCATCGCGTCCACAGTCTCGCGCACGTGGACTATGGCGTCCACCGTGGAGCGCCCCTCTCTGAAGCCGAACTGCCTCTCGGACAGGCCGGGTCCGGCATACTCGATGTGCCTCACTAGTCGGGCCGCGATCACCCTCTCGAGAAGTTTCCCGGCCTCGTCCAAGAGGCAGATCGGCCTGAAGCTCCCGGGTTCGTCCGGGGGCTTTCCCTCTTTGGGGAGGAGCACCAGCCTCGCCTTCTTCCACAGCCCCGGGAAGATGCCCCCCTCCAGACACCGGGTATACAACCCCTCCAGTCTGTCGGAGAGCTCCCCCAGGGCTGCCTTCAAAATTATGCCGGGGACCCCGTCCGGACCCGGCGCTTTGCCCTTCTTGAGCTTCTTAGCTGCTCGCGCCAGCTCCGTCCGGGTAATCCCCAACTCCTCCTGCCAGGGCTGATGCTCCTCCCCGTGTTCCGCATCCCGTGGAGGAGGACCGCCATCGTCCCCCGCTGGGAATAGGGCTACTACCACCTCTTGGAGAAAGCGTGGGTCCAGATTCTCCACCGTCGGGGGCGCCCCCGAACTTAACTTGTTCATTACAAGTTTATAGGGGCGTCCCCAAGGGTCCTCGTTAAGAGAGCTCACTAGCTCCTCCCACGCTTTCTCCTTGGCAGTCCTGATTGCCGCCCGCAAAGCCTTCCTTCTTTGGCGGTACTCCTCCACGAGTCTCTCCTCCTCTGCAGGTGGAGTTCCCCTCCTCCTTCTAGCCCGCAGGACGGCTCTCCTGGCGGCCACCGAGGATTTCCTCAGCGCGTCTATTTCCTCCGACCACCAGTAGGCCGCCCTGCGGGCAACGAACCCGGCGCGCGGCATAGCGGCGTCGCACGCACTCGTCAGCACCTGCTGCACCCACCTGGCCTCCTCTTCCACCGTGGGCGCAGGGACCGGCTGCGCCCACAGTGCCGCGATCAGGGACTCCTTAAATTTATCCGGGTCCAGCTTGTCTGTCCTCCACCTAGTCATTCGCGCTTGCTGTCCCGTCCTCCCA